GCGCAGACACGGTTATGCCCCCCTGCCTCATTTATCAGCTGCAGGATCAGAGCGGGCTGGGCCCAGCTGAACTCACTTTACAGCCATGCACAAATCATTTGCAAGACAATGGAGAGTCTGTGCAGGCAGCCAAAACCAACAGCGCCGGAGGCGAGGCAGAGGCAGGCAGCAGTGAGCGGCACCCCGTGAACGGCCCCCCCGTCCCCCAGCACCATCCCACCCGCCCCTTAACCCCTCGCCGCCCGCCACCTGCGCCCGCCTTTGTCTGCCACCCCCACGCCAGCTCAGCTGCCCCACCAGGCCCTCGCTGCATCCTGTCCCCGCGGGTGTCGGCAGCACAGGCCCATCCCGCAGAGGGGCCCCCACTTCGGCACCTCCTGGCAGGCCAGGTCCTGCTCCCCGCTGGCCCCTACGACTGCACCCTCCATGCCGTGCTCCACCCCGGGGCCAAGCTCCCTGCCCTGTGCCAGCCAGGGTGCTGAACAGCCCCAGAATTGGGCATCAGGGAGCAGGATGGCGGGTCCCCCGCAGGGCAGCAAGCTCCCAGTTGGGCTCAGGGCCGTGGCCATGCCACCCCCAGCAGCCTGGAGAGGGTAAAGCTGCAGGTGCCCGTGCAGCACGGTCGGCACAAACGGGCTGTGGAGCAGAGGCCCCAGAGCCCAAAGACCGCACACGACACCGGTGCATGGGGCTGGGACACCGGAGAGGCGCCGCAGCTCTGGGTGCCCTCAGCGCCGGCCCTGGGGAGAGCCCAGCAGAGCCGTGCATGGCACACCCGGTCTGGGAGCTCCCCAGCTCCGCGCAGAGAGCGGGCGCGGGGCTCCGCCGAGACCCCAAGGGCAACCCAGGCTGGCTTCGCCGAGGGCTGGCCCCAGGCGGGAGCAGGGGCTCAGGTGCAGGTGCCGGATGCTGCCTGGCCCTGGCGGGGTGGGCACGGGCGCAGGCTGGACCCCCCAGCTGTCTCTCAGCCCCAGGCCTGGCCATGCAAAGCGGGTGTTGCCATGGCAACAGGTTGGGGAGTTTCTGCTTCTCCCGCAGGCATCAAGGTCAGCGGGGGGGAAGGGGCAGGGCTGGGAGGGGGAAGAAGAAGGGCCAAGGGGCTCCTGCCCCTGACAGGCACCACGTGCCCTCCCCAGGACACAGTCCTGTGCAGGGGAGGCCTGGCCATGGGCTGGCAGCTCCCCAGGGCCGAGCCAAGGGGCTCCCAGGATGCACCAGGGACTGGGGTCTCAAGCGCGCAGCGCCCTGGCGCCCATGCCAGCAGTGGGGCTGGGGCTCCCCGGCCGGGGCCCCCCCCCCGCTGGGGGGGGACAGGGGGCGGGGCCGGGGGGGGGGGGGGGG